GTTGATCTTTATCCGATATTATATTTATTTTATTTCATTTTTACTTTATTCATATAATTGTTAATCTTTATCCAATTATATACTTTAACTCATTTCATTTTATTTACTTTAGTAATCTAAACTAAGTTGTATCTACTTATAAAACAAGATACTGGTGCTCACTGACAATTAAACTAAACTATAAAACTATCTATATTCCAAAACTATAAAAGGAAATTCCACTTTCTAAATAACCAAAAGAATCCACAACACCGCTAATCGTACTAACACAATTATCGGAGTTTTAAAAGGAAAATAAATTATCCGTGAAATACATGTAAAAATATGAGGAGAGAGCGAATCGAACGCCCAACCTTTGGATCTGGAATCCAACGCACTACCAATTGTGCTATCCCCCCATATTGTTATTAGGGGGTTATTGAGACATATTAGAGATTAGTAATAATTTTTTTAGTCGTTAACACTTTTATTGTTTATTTTTCTTGCATTTTTATTATTTATTTCATCTTAGGAGGTTCGATAAATATATTAAAAATATAAATTGGTAAAAAGTAATATATAATATAAAAAAAAAACAAGTGAAATTTCTTGGTTGGTTGGTTTTGTTATAAATATAAGATGAAGATTGTAATAATAATCTAATTCTACTCTGGTATCTATATAAAATAAAATTCCGCTTATCGTATGATAATTGTTAGGTTTGTTAAAGAAATATAAAAAATAAAAAATAAAAGTTAAGACAAAAGAGATATTGTGAAGCTGTTGATTATTGTTTATTAGAAAATAAAATAAAATAGGTATTTATATGTGAATATATATTAGGGGGTAATTATAATAAACAAGAATATGGTACTACCTGTTGTATTTACCATAAAATAACAATATTAAATGACTTCATAATTATAATATACTTATAACCCATATGAAATATTTGATATTTTATTATAAAACTATTACTGTGTACCTGATATGAAATGAACCATTCCTATTAGCTTATTCTATGTTATAACTTTAAACTCCATTCTAAACTCGCATTACCATTACTAGATAATCCTATAACTCTATTTTATTATTATATATATAACATATAAACTAAGCCCAGTGTCACTAGTCCACTGAAAAGTATAAATATAACTCTTGTTTTATACATTTGAATAAAGGTTAACCAAAAGTTTCACAATATTTTCTTTGTTTTCTTAACTTTTTATAATTTTAATTTGATAAATTCAACACTACCATTATTCTTGTTTGTGTGTGTTACTTAGAATAAGTATAATATAGTATAATTATATTATTTAAATAAATGATATCTATAATGTTATGGTATGGTTGAATTTGCCATACCTAAATAATCCTAAAAATATATTTTTTTTAAATATATTTATATATATATATGGTTGCATATATAAAAATATGCATATATATATATATATTAACCTTATAACTTATTTATATTTTATCTTATTTATATATTTTATATTATATATTTTGTCCAATTTATACTCCTCCTTTGTTATAATGGTCTTTATAACTTACCTACCAATCTGTGTTTAAATCCAGATTTTTTTGTATATTGTTATGGTATGGTTGAACTTACCATACATAAATAATCCTAAAAATAATTTTTAAATATATTTATATATAAGTGTTTTGCATATATAAATATATGCACCTATATACTATCTTTATATTTTATTCAATATTAGTTTATAATTATATATATTATATTATATTTTATTATTTATAACTTATCCAATTTTACTCCTCCTTTGTTATAATGGTCTTTATAACTTACCTACCATTCTGGGTTTAAATCCAGATTATTTTTATATATAAAGGAGCGAATTTTTATTTTATTTTTGAAAAATCAGTTAACTTTGAATAAAAAAGATTTTTACATACTAAATATATTCTCTTAACTCATCTTTTTAACTAAAGATTATATTTATTTTATATTAATATTGTTGATTATTATCCAATATTATTTCATATTATTTTATCATAATAATCGTTGATCTTTATCCGATATTATATTTATTTTATTTTATTTTTACTTTATGTATATAATTGTTGATCTTTATCCAATTATATATTTTATTTCATTTTATTTTATTATTTCATTTTATTTTATTATTTCATTTTATTTTATTATTTCATTTTATTTTATCTATTGTTAGCAATAACGCTCTCTGATTTTTCTTTCCTTTTTTGGTTTGGCCTTGTGCTACCGGTGCAAAAACACCAAGGTGCAAAAACACCAAGGTGCAAAAACACCAAGGTGCAAAAACACCAAAGTGCTTTTGTTCCTTACCCGATCCTTATAAATTTTAATTTATTTTTTTTAATATAAATAGAACCAATTTTTCTCTCTTTCTTTCTTTTAAATTGTCAAATTTTTATAATAAATTATTATCTACTAAATAATTATTAATCTTGTCCACTTTATAAATCATATTTTATAATTTTATTTTATTTTACTTATAACATATTCATATTACTGAAATTTATCTATTTTTTATAACAAACTATATTATTTTTCTTATTTTTATATTTTACTTTTATATTTATTTACTTAAATATTTTTTAACAACCCTAAATTTAAAATTACTTTTTAAATTTTTATATTATTTTCATTCTACATTGCGGTTACTGAAATCTTACTTTAATCCTGCAATTATATTACACTTTTAAATTCTTATATTTAATTTATCTTTTTATTTTACTTTATTTTCTTTTCTTTTTATTCCTCTATATTAAGTCGTTCTACTTATAAAACAGGGACTGGTGCTCACTGGAATTTTATTATTTACTCCAAATATAACTTATAATACTCATTCCTCATTTCAAAAAATAAATCTTAACCAAAAACCCACATAACATTAATATAAATACAAAATCGCTTATTTTATTTTAACAAAAATAAATCTTAACCAAAAACACACACAACACTTTTAAAACAACAAAAAAAAATAATCCACAACATAGTCTATTATAGATGACAAAAAGAAATTGCATCAACGGGGAATCGAACCCCGGCCCTTCGCGTGGCAGGCGAAGATTATACCACTTAACCATTGATGCTTCTTAGTGATTGAGACGTTGCTGAGACGTCTTTGAAATCAGATTGTCTTGTTTCCAGTCATTAACTCTTCTTTTTCGTATTCAATTTTATTTAAATTTATTTATTTTCAATTATTATTATTTTATTTATTATTTTTATACATTTTTTTATATAGAATTTTATTTTTATTATTATATTTTTTTTATTATTTCGAATCCTATCTAGATTTGGATTATTTTTAATTACTTTTAAATGCCGACAATAATTATATATACATCAGGTCAAACTGAATTAGAATTAAAACCATCTTTACTTTTCTTTCGTGTATTGATCATAAGTTACTTTTTTTTTTTTGATTTAGTTTAATTTAGGGGATAGTTTTGCTGGAATAGTTTCCATTTTAAGTATTTTGTTTTATTTCGATTTTTTTTATTTTTATTTTGTTTTATTTTTACTTTTTACAAACACTTGAACCCAGTCACTTCAAGTCGAAGCACCGCACGTGACATGGTTTGTCAGCAATAAAATAATCGATAATAGTAAGGGCAATGTTTTCAAGGAATCAGAACATACTAAAATGGATATAGACAACAATGGTGATAGAAAGGTTATTATTGAAAAAGAAAATAATGATATTGTAAAGATTTAATTAATAATTCTACCACTGAAAATGAAGAAACGAAAAATAAAAATATGGAGTTGGACAAAGAAAGGAAAAGAAAATGGAGTTTCAAAGCAACGATTCTGGTCTGAGAATGAAATAATAATTAATCGCTATTTTATCAATTTGCCTGTAGGAATTTTGTTATATTTTTCATCATTTTTTATTTTAATAACTTTAATGATATTTTGTGTATCTAAAAAAATCATATGAATTCAATTTAATAAATAACAAGCTTTTTCTCGTTTTCAGAACTTTCACCATAATTTTTATTTTAATTCTATTTTATATCTAAACTACATATTTTTATTTATTTTAACTTTAGTCCTTTTATCTGGCTTTTATTTATTTAATTTTTTACTATAAATCAATTCCAAAAATTAGAAAGAAATCCAAAGTTCGAAGCACCTTTCTAAACTGGTCCAAGGTTTTTGTTGAATTTATCAAATTAAAATTTTAAAAAGTTAAGAAAAACAAAGAAATTATTGTGAAATTTTTGGTTAACCTTTATTCAAATGTTTAAAATAACTGTTATATTTATAATTTTTAGTGGATTAGTGCTAATAGGCTTGATTTATATATTATATAGTATGAAAATAGAATTATAGTGTTATCTAGTAAAGTTAACGCGAACTATAATGGAGTTTAAAATATGCTTATGGTAATGAATCTGCGAGATTAGAAGATTTAAAGTCATAACATAGAATAAACTAATAGAAATGATTTATTTCATATCAGGTACACAGAGGCGATTTTATAATAAATAACAAATATTTCATGTGAACTATAAGTATATCATAATTATGAAGTCATTTAATATTGTTATTTTATGGTAAATACAACATTTTTAAGCTTCGCCCGTAATTTTGGGTATCATGTCGAGTTGTTCTCGAAGCTCCTCTCTGCCGCTCATGGTCTTAAAGTCAAAAACTATATAAAGACTAACTCGAAAACAGAAAAACAAAAAAAAAAGAACTCTTCCTCTTACGTTTAACTTTAGATACTTTTATTTTTGTCTTCGTGTTAGTCGTTTTAATTTTTTGCATAAAAATAATTTTTTTTAAAATTATATACTTTTTGATCACTATTAGGTAAGGTTGTTCTATATTTTTTATTTACTTTCATCATCTTTGCGTAAGATTGTTTTATTATCTTATACTTCTTTAATCGTATTTGCGTAATATTGTTTTTTATTCTATTTATTTTAATAATAATTGTAACTAAAGTAAATAGACTACTCTAATTAAAACAGAAACCCCGATTGGCAGTGTGAGAGAGTGCCAGTGCGTCTTTGAAGTCGTCCCGTCTCGAGCCATTTTATTTTTTTAGTTGTTTTTATTGTAATCATTTTGTTATTTTTTATTTTCATTATTTTAAACTTTATTATATTTTAGATTTTGATAGAAATTTGCAAATATAAATCAAGGTCTCAGAAAGTTTTAAAAAATAAAAATAAAAAATCACAAAATGGTTGTTTATATAAATATATTAAGACTACTATAAAAGCAGAAAAAAAACTAGGATTTTCGTATTTTTTTGAAACTTCGTTAATTTAAAACTTCACACTTTCTCTAACGCTAATTAATATATATGGTATGAAAACCTACGACCACGGCTCTCAATTGATATAAAAGTTATCACTTTGTATTTATTTTTAATTTTGAGAAAAATTAAAA